AAAATAAAATAATTTACCTCATTAAGAAATTCATCAGAAATATTCTGTGAATTATGTAGTTTTTTTAATGCCACAATCCTATCATTATTATCATTTCTATTATTTATACGTTTATTACCATTTAACCAAATAGCTTTGTATATAGTTGCAAAACCACCTTCACCTATCTTTTCAATATTTGTTAAACCATTATAAGGAATCCATTGAAGATATTTACTATTATCATACTTAATTGCTTTAAGTTGTGTGCTTTTAATCAACTCATCTAATGCTTCATTGCCACTAGTCCATCCTTCAGTTAATAGCTTTGGATTACATGAGTTACACCATAAATAATTAGTATTATATCTATTGCAAATTGGACATTTTCCATAACATCCTTTTCTTTCCTTTGAATATTCATCATCATCATTTTTGTCAGTAGAAGTATCCATCTTTTTTTTCTAAAAGGAACTCAACTATATTAGCATTTAAATATTGGTCTATTTTATGATTTGTGCACTGAATTACGCAATTCGGCATTACGTAACAAATTTGCCGCGGTACCTCAAAGTTATGTAATTATTTATGGCAATAGTAATAGATATTCATTTTGTTTTATCAAATTATTCATTTTATTCATTTATTCGAATTATTCGTTTTATTTGTTTATTCAAATAGAAACTCAAAGTTGAGCATGCTCGAGTAAAATTTGAATTTTCAAGTTCGAGCTAAGTTCAAGAAAATAGGCCCTTAAATTGTTTTTTAGATAATATAAAAAGATTGCATACCCAAGATCCCTTGGATCAAAAAATTAATATAAAAGAAGCATGCGAATCGAACTTCAGACAAGGGATAAATTACCAACCTCACTCATTGTTTCTAGAAGAACACCCTCAACGAAGCAATATGAAATATTTTAACATTATGAATTAAATATATTACTTACTGTATTTAATTAAAATATTTAAATTAAAATGAATAAAATAACAATAACGGGAATGTTAATTGCAAAATATGATAGAGTTGTTACACAATCATTAATTGCTTCTTTCGTCATTAACGAATTCCCCTTCTTTTTCAATATTAAAATCATCATTACCGCACTTCAAGTAAAGAAGACTTGTATATTTGAGTTTTCTTTTTGCCGTGAAAGCATCTAAAAGTATGAAAATGGAAAAGAATTCTCTATATAATAATAACGGAACGGGAACAATTTTGAATATCACGGTATCGCGAATTTAAAAGTCGAGGGTGGTCGATCGTTAAGATAAACTGACCAAGTTGTATGCTAATAATATTAATATTAACAAATTAATAATTATAAGTTATATGAAAGTTTTTTAAAAGTCATTAATATAATAATAAAGAAAAAATTAAACGGAATGTGCGTAATTGTGATAGTTATCACAAATCATCTACTAGACTGGGTTTGAATTACACGTCAAGCTCTCCGGCTCCAGTTCGAGAGTTTACATAGCAGTCGTCGTCGTCGTCATATGAATTACTATATTAATATGAAATTTCTCGTCTTATTTTAATATAAATTAAGTACCTCTCGATCTTAATAATCTATCAAGAAGTCATGACTGGATTATCGAATGATTATTTAATGGCTATGTATAAATTAGTAATATTTGAACCTGATAATGCATTATTAATTAAGGTTCAGCCAGTTAATTTTAACGATAGTCTCTAAAAAAAGTCACTCCTATGAAGTTTATTAGTATTGATTATTTACAAAGATTCAACACAATATTTATTCTACCCAGGGAATGAAGTTTGAAATCGAATTGTTAAAAATTAAGGATTAATTTAAAAAAACAAATTTGGTAATAGAGTTTTTTAATGATGATTGTAATCTATATTATATATATCTTAAATGTAAAGACTATAAAAGAAGAAAACATTTTTATATAATTAATAAGTCATCTTAATTTTCTCCAAGATTTCCTGGAACGTTTCTAACAATTCATTAAATCTTCTTATTTTACCCAAATAACCTTGTTCGTAACTAGAATCTAATAATTCATCGCCGCTACGCAATATTATATTTGTAATGATACCCACAAGCCTACCCTAAATAAAATATGGAAATAAAGAAGTTAGACTGATTATTATCATAATTGTGTGTTTCTTCCCGAGCTTACCACATTTAGGTCACTGCGGTTACTATCTTCCGCATTAGCGACATTCTTTAATAGAAAAAGTTCTCTAAATATTTCGATATTAGAAAGGAAAACGTGTAATTCTTCACATTTCTGTAAAAAAAAATTTTTAATTAATATAAATAATATTCCATAATAAATGAATGAATCTATGTATGCATGTAATTGACCTTTCTTTCTTCTTCTTCATTCCTAAACGATTCTCTTTCCTTGCTCATATCCACACAAACGTTATGATGTTTTTCTTTGACTTCTAATAACTCCTTTTCTATTTTATTAATTCTTAACCTTGTTTGATCTAGTGCTTCTTGTAGTTTTAAGTGTTTCTCAAAAAGATCGTACTATATAAAAAAAGGATACTTGAATAAAAGAAATAAATAATTTTTAAAGATAATGCGAATTGAACCAACTTTTTTTTTAAATGCCTTTTCAACTTGTTCCTTTAAATGAATAGCTTTATTTTTGAAAAAATCATTTTCCAATTCATTTCTTTTAAAATGATATAAAAATCAAATTAACTAATATTTCCAAATATCATTTATATATCATATATAGGCGGTAACTTACATAAACTCGTCGATTGTTATGTTTAGAATATTATGTATAACTTTGATATCATTTACAACAAGTTTTTGTGTTATTGAGTCAGGAATAACATTTGACTTTTTTAAAATCGAAATCATATAAAATCATTTAGTCTCGAAAAATACATAGATAACATATTGTATTTTTAACTACCTTTTTATATTCTGAATCAAGATCTTCTAAATTGATGGTTGAATTATGTGGTATTATTTTTTCATTTGATCCTGGTAAATCATTTGCCATTTCATCTTTAATAATAATAATATTTTTGCTAATTGTATCTATTTCATCTTGATTAAATATTACATTAGGACGTAAAACTAATTCCCCAAAAATCAAAATAATTAATTATAATAAAGTCAACACCTTTTTTAAAATTAATCAAAGATTGCCACCATTACCATTTTTATTATCCAAAGGCGAATTCAGAATCCCTTCTTTCTTGTGAAATCTTGGAGATACGTTGTATGGTAATTGCTCTAAATTAATGCTATCATTATCGTAATCACAATCATCGTCATCATTATCAATGATTAAATTAGTTGTGGTGAGTATATTTTGTTGATCTGGTGACGATGATGATGAATCAGCCAACGACATTGTAGATGATGACAATGAATCGGCCAATGACATTGTAGACGATGACGATGAATCAACTAATGACATTGTGGAAGATGATGATGGATCAACTAATGACATTGTGGAAGATGATGACGGATCATAAGCTGTATCATAGATGATAGAAGACACGGGCGTTGAATAATTTGCTTGTGCTGCAACTGATTCTGGTCGTTTTATTTTAATCATTTGTGCCTTTGGTGTTATTGACCCATCAAGACCCTTTGGAATTTCAATGTTTAAAGAGAATATGCTGCTGCTAGATTGCTTTCTGTCAAATTTATTTGATTCTCTTTGATTTTCGTTGATTTTATCAACCTGATTTTTATTTTGCGAAGAAATTTTTGCAGATGATGGATTTTTTGATTGTTTTTGATTACTCAACTCTTCTTCTTTTTCTTCTTCTTTTTCTTCTTCTTCTTCTTCTTCTTCGCCGTCATCAATATTAATAATATTAGATACATTTCTTTCTTGAAGTACTTGTCTTGAGTTAGTTGCTCTTTTAGTTATTAAACTTTTGAAATTCTCTGATTTTACTGAATCTGATCCGGGCGGTTTTTGTTGTTGTTCGATGGTTTTGGGTGCATGAAATATTGAATATTGAATTTGTTGATTAGTTTCGTTTTTTCGTTCTTTGTTATTTGTGTTTTTGGTTGATGAATCTAAAAGTCCTGGTGATTTTGCTGTATTATTCTGATGTATTCTAAAATTATATCAGGTAATTAATTATATATTATATATATGCAAGAAGAATATAACAAAAAAATGCACCTTGGACTTTTTTTTGATTTTGTATTAATTTTAAGGTAATTTTTATTATATTGATTACTATTGATCATATTATGGAGAATTTGTGAATTTATTTAAAAAACACGTTATTTATATTTTTTAAATATCACGTATATTTTAAAAAGCATTTTAGCATATTAACTATGGTGCGCGTCCTCCTAATGCTGCGCCACAAAGTCAAAATTTTTATTTATTTATTCTTCAAAAGAAACATTTTCTGGAATGGACACCAGTTAATACTTTACGGTAAGCCATAAATCTCAAGAATGCCTTGCATACTTATATATTTGTTCTAATGATAAGATTCAAGTGCTTCTGGAACGGATTTTCCGGTTCTTTAAAAGTATAATTACAGTTATTCCATGTGTATTTTTTTTTTGTTGTTGTTTCCAGAAACATTCAATGAAGTTAAGTTTGCAGTGAAACTTTGGAAAAAACTTTGTCTATGCCTTTTTGAATTAAAGGGTGCCGGAAAGCAAAATCTGGTTGTAAAGATAGATACGTACAGCACAATAATCTTCTCTTGTTGATGGATGAATGTTTTTTACAGTCGGTGCATATATGGACGATTTTTCTGTCAGTTATATGTTTTGAACGCGACATTTCCTGCAGATCAATGGGAAAGAAAATTTTCTGAAAATTTTCTGGTGAATTCGAATTGAATCCATATAGCCATTGCCATCAAAATTTGAAGCAAGTTGTTAATAAAACCGAAATCGTTTCAACCTTAAAGTCAAATTTTGACTTTATATTCATTCATATATTAATTTGTAGAAATTTGTTTATTGCAAGCAAAAGTAAATGCGAATGTTCAAATAATTACGTATTATAAATATTTACACAGTAATAGTTTTGTCCACTTAAGTATGTCTTTTATAGTAAAATCATTTATTTTAAAAATAAGTATAATAAATAAACAGATGTTAAAAATTATCTTTTGCATTTATTCCCTACATAAATAATGATTAAATTAAAAGGTGTTTTATTTCTGGCTTTATTCATTTAATTATTTATCATGGTGGTCTTATTAATATATAAGTTAAGAGAAAAGAAAAATTTATATGCATAAATAAATAAGATGTTGCAAAATTTCATTTATTTATTTATTTTACAAATACTAATATCAAATATCAAGTATGCTTGATTGGGGTGTTACATATCAGCATAAACACAAACATATATAAAAAATCATATACGCGGATTTTTTTTGCCGATCAATAGATGTAAAAATTTTAATATAAAAAATAAACCTCTATCTCCTCATTATTTATCAAATAAACCTCCATTTAAAATTAGTGTATAGGTACTAAATAACAAATACTTCAACATAATGGCTTTATTTTTTTAATTTTTTGTTTATAAAAAAAAGTTATATGCAAAAAAAAGTTTTAAACAAAAATAAAAAATTTTTTTATTAAAATTTTTAAAAATCTACAACCATTAAGT